TTTAATCCTGGCTCAAAGTCTCAATCGGCAAAAAATTTACAGAAGATAGATAGTTCAATTACTGACGTAGTATGTTGTGAATTTTCTAGCGTGTTCCAAGTGTGTCAAATGATGAGTCGCGTAATCTCGTCATCTTTACGTGTGCGTAAATGTCGCATAGAGCCATCGAGACAACGCAAAACGCGCAATATGATTAGACTGCTGCACACCGCGGAAATCAGAGCGTTCCTAAATAAATAAGATAATTTTAACTTATATTAAAAAGATTATAATTCTAATGGGTAATATAATTTTAGCGCGTACACAGATATTTTATAATTATATATATCAATCTTAAAGCAACAATATAATTAACGCGACGTTTAATTCAATGTCGGCTTTGTATTTAGGAGTGGACTGTTTGGAAAACGCAAAGAAAAACCAGAATCGACGGAAAACAGGTCGACAATTACAACAGGTTCGTTTATCTTAAGTTAATTGCAAATTTTCAATGTATAATTCCAAAAAAATGTGTCAAGTTTAATTATAAGATAAAATTATATAATTTAATTGTAAGATAAAACTATATACATATATTATTGCAGTTTCGACCACATACAAAAGAGATCCTTATGACAGACCGACAGCACCTCCGCGTCTGTCCAAGGATCAGCAAGAGTTTGACGAAGCCTTGGGCACTCTGACGAGGAGAAGAAAATATACTTTTGATAATAATACTTCGAGGTACAGTTCTAATTTAACAGTAAATGGAGATCCTGCTAAAATTAGTGATGGAAATCCTCAAAATACTACAACATCTATCATGAGCGTCGATCTTACACCAAAGCCACCAGCCAGAAGGTAAATCATAGAAAATATTTTTAAAAATGTTCTTATTATAAAAATGTACTTATATTTAAGAATCTTTGATCCGTATTTGAATAAAATAATTTATAAATCCTATAACTTCTCTAAAAGATTTAAAAAAGAGATTTAAAAAAGAGGATTTAAACTCCATTTAAGACTAAAATTAAATTTTTAATGATTTTTACGCTTAGATTTGGGCAGGTGAGCCCAAGACCGATGGATAAAATACCACCTTTGGATTTCGAAGATAAGCAACCCAAGCAATATGGTAATATTACTCATCGCGACAAGCCAGAAGAGGTCCCGATTCCACCAATGTAAAATCCTCTATATTCTTATTTTTATTCTTTATAAATATTTCTATCACTGTAATCCTGTTTACTATACAGGGTTGGGTAGTAATTAGTTAAAAAATTAAAAGTTAATTAATAAAGTTGAAAAGTTAATAACTTTTAACTTAACAATTAATTTAAATGATTAATTTATAATTTTAATTAGTTATCTTTAAAACATATAAACTTTAACTTATTAACTTTATATTTTAATGTAAATAATTAAATTAATTTTATAAGCCATTAACTTTAATTTAGTTAAAAAATAATGTTAACAACCCTGCTTATTATAAACATTAAATGTTAAAATTAAATAATTTTTAATAATATAATCTTTGTTACAAAATACAATATTTCTGCTCACGATTAAACATTTTGTTTATAATATCCAATTGTTTTTTTCAGGCGAAGATTCGGCAATAGATCGTCGCAAAGATTGAATGGGACTATGTCGGATCTCGAGGAAGATTCAGGCAATCCATCCGGTAATGTTAGTCTGAGAGATGAGAATGAAAATGTACCTGAAGATTATGTTTTCAAAAGATTCAATCAGGATGCTGTGAGAAAATCAAATTTGTCTATCAACAGTTGCACATCCGTTACCAGTACGGCAAGCACGTACGGACGTAAAAAACGGAGAGCACCGCAACCGCCAAAACAAAAAGAGCAATTGGATATTCCTTTGGTAAATTGCATTTGTAAATTGCATAAATGATAATAATGATATTTGACACAATAAATGAACAACAAATACTGACGTATATAATGTAATATAATATAATTTTCACAGGAGAATAATTGCCAATCTACAACGCAAGAAAATAAAACGGCAGCTATATCAGAAACGAATAAACTTGAACTCCAAATAATCGAGCCGATCGATATCGCCAGGGTCACGGAAACCATCGATGAGATGATGAAAAAGACTTGCGAAGAAGACCTTTTGAATGAAAAATCGCCGCAAAAAGAAGAGAAGCAAACTGAATTATCTGTAAAGATTATCGAGAATACGTCACTTGATGATGTTACAAAGAACACCAAAAGAAAAGAAACAGGTGAAATTTCTAATAACTGTGTGTCCGAAAAAGAAAAGGAAAAAATAATACATAACTCTGAGGAAACATCAAGGAAAACTGAATCCCAGACAAAAATAGAAGAAGATTCAAATAAGGAGAAATCAAATATCAATAAAGATTCCATTGAGAAAGAATCTGTAGATATAGAATATAATAGGACGTCTCAGGAAAAGATCGAGATCATCAAGGACGTCGAACAAGAAACCGATGAGGTTTCTTTGAGAAAAAAGATTCATCCAGCACGTTGTCGCGTAGTGACAGTTTTTCTGTAAAGGAAGAGATTGAAAAAATTGAGAGGCAGATCAAGGCACTGGAAAGCAAAAGAGTATCTAAAGAACAAGAAAATATCGATGATATGTGTGACGATGATCCAATAACGAGTACTAGATTATCCATTCAGACAAATCGTCGGCATTTTTTTGAAAATATGGTGGATGGACCATCTGGTCCAGTTAAGTTGGAATTCAAGAAATTGCCATGTGAACAAAAGGACATTCATGTAGTCAGATTAACGGATTCACCAATACCAATCGCGGCATCTCGAGACCCGGTGAAAGTGATCGAACTACATATTTCTGAACCGATCAGACATAAACCCGAACTCTTGGAGGAAGTAAATCCCATACCGAAACCCAGAAGACATAGTCTAAGAGACACATTCGAATCCAAACCAAAGGATAAAAACTTAAATGACACTGATAGGAAAGGGCAATCTTTTTAAAATTGTAAAACTTTGTCTTTTGGACTTCCCAGTGAAATTCTATCGTGATTTCTACATATATAATCGTGTTTAATTAAGTTGTAATTTCGATACAACAAAAATCTATGTATTGCAAATAAGCTATTTAAAGGCTGTATGTACATTCTACATTACATATCTTTGTTTTCTTGTTAGATTGCAATGATTTGTACTAACGCGTCGAATATATTTTTTCTGCAGAAAGATTTGCAGCAGAACTCCAGCATTTCTATTATGTTAAGTAATTATATGATAATTATGTTTTCTTTATTTCTGACATCGTGATGTTTTACTGTAATACTTAGCTATTATTTTCATTATTTATTGCAGAATAAAGCATAAACTATCATTTAAAATGCCTCTTTCTCTTTAGACAGAAAATATAATTTTATTCTAAATTTATAAAAAAAACCCAAAATAAAACAGATTGAAATAAAGAATAATTAAGAATGTGTGAATAATTAAGAAAAATATAATTAGAATTTAAAAAATATGAGAAATGAGATAAATGATAAAAACACAATGCTTTCGTTTTTCAAAAACGTTTATAAGTTATTTATTAAAATATCTCTATTTGAGCTCTATAATTCAAAGAAATCGAATAGAAATAATCGTTTAATGTCTATTTTTATTTAAACAATCGCTTCTGTTTATATTTTATAAATCTCATTAAATTCGTGTTTACAGTCGATACTACAGACATGCCGTCTTTCAAATGTTTCTTTTGCTGATGCATCTATAAAGTAATTAAAGATAAAAATCAATTTATAAGAATGCATTTGATGAGAAATAAATAATATATATTTACCTTATTTTTGAAATGTGGCACCACAGATAGCAGCTTTGGAACCAATTCAATATCTATCGCTAAATGATCGGTTTCATCCTCCGCATATATATCCATTATCGCATCTATAGATTCTGCTATAATCCATATTTGTGTTTCCGTTTTAGAGATGTCTAATAAGAACGTAGATACAAGCTGTCAATGATAAACAGTAATCATGAAAAGATTCTAGAATGCAGGAAAATGCGAAAATAATTACCTTTATAGTTTCATAATTTTCCGAATTTTTGTTATTCAACAGAATCTGTGCCAGATTACACAGCATTCTTATCAAATTAATACGAACATTCATATCGGAGCATTGATGCACGTCATTCAACATCGGCTGGATGTCGTTACAAGTTAAGTGTTTAAAAACGTTCGCTCGTACTTCTGCTAAACATTGAAGAATAGCTCTCATAGCAGCCGTAGACGCTTCCGCAAGTTTTATGTTATCCAATGTAACACGTTTAAACTCTGTTCCAATTTCCATCCATTTCCTAGATGCAGGATATCCAAAATTAACAGAAGTTAATAAAAATTGTAAATATATAATAGAAAAAAAATAGCATACATTTTTGTAATTATTTAAAGAATTTAAAAATGATTTACCTAAACAAATTGTCAACACCTCCAAAAGCGTCAACCTCCATGATAGGCAGTAAATTATTTAAACATAAATAAGCTGCACACTGAATGTCATAAAACTGCTTCAATGTAGCTTTTCCGTCTTCGATTTGATCCAGTATTTCCTGACTGTCTTTATCCACTACAAATTCAATTTTGTCCCAAATTTTATTAATCAAGTTATAATTATTTATAACTTCAATTAGTTCTATTGGAAGCGTTGATATCATTGTCAAATCTTTATTCATAGAATCATCATCTAAACATTCAGATTCAATTTCTATTGTTTCAGAATCATCAGTGTCGGAATCAAGTGTATTGTCTTCATATTCAAAACACAAATTTGCTAAAATCTGTAAAGCTTGTTCCTGAGCTTCCAATATTTTTCTATTTTCCTGTATCTTCTTTTTCTTATCCTTTGATAAAGCATTGTTTTCATGTGGTAGAATAGATATTAGAGAAGATAATACTTGTCTATGATCGATAGCAAGTACTTCAGCAAGTACTAATAACACTTTATGGAATACAGATATCTGATTGCTATCTGTATAATTACTTATATTGACTAATACATCAGCTACGGCAGTTTTCAAAGACAATACTTTGAAGGCAGCTGTATCATTATCTGCTTTTAAATCCAACAAACTCAATAAAATCGATTGGCTTTGTTTGATTTTAATAATGGCAGCATCATTCTCATCCGATAAGCATATCATGTATCGTACAACAACTGTGACAATATCTATTCCATAAATATCGATATCTAAGAACTTTATTAGAAGTGATATCAAATCCTCATCATTAGCTCGCTTAATTGCACTCTCATTATTTGCACATAACGTCCATAACAAGCTAACTGTTTGAACAAAAGCTATTTTTTCATCTCCAGCTCCTTTTGGCTTCCAATCTGAATAGTACTATAGATACAAAATTTATTTAAATACCATTACAAGTTGTTGCAATTGGTTATTCATTTTAAGCATTAAAAAACATTAAAATACATAAATTTTTTTCATACTTGTCTCAATAATGCGGTGAGTGGAGTTACAATATCATCTTTGACTAAATCATTACATGCTTCCTCCTTGCCATTTTCTGCAATTTCTCGCAAAGTAGATGCGGTATTTGCTCGTATAGCAGCATTATAATCTAAAAGCAGTGGACCTATTATTTTTGCTATTCTATCATTAGCAATTTGTTTGGCCATAGAAGAGTCACCAGACATCGATGCCAATATTTGCAGAGCGGACAATTTTTCTTCAAGATTACATGACTGTACCTAAATAAAAAAAAAATAGATAAAATATATATCATACCAATAAGAAGAAATAAATACCTTAAATATTTATTCTTATCGATTTTATTAAGTAAATTTGATTTTAATAATGGTACACAGATTGCAAGTAAAATCTTTCGCTACTCACATCGTCATAAACATTCTGCAAAATCTTTTCCTTATCACTCTCCGTAAGTTCTTCGTTTAATTCAAATTCTTGAACGGATGGTAATCCAGTAGGATTTTCTTTGTGAGGCTTCCGCCGTTGCCGCTTTTGCTTACCCATAAGTGTGAATGTAATCCGATAATTATTGAGACCAACAAAATATATTCAAATATATCTTAAAATGCATATGTGAGGTTAAGTGAATGCACATGGTCGATCCGCGTATAAAGGACATGCTCCGATATATACTGCCGATATTAAAAATCTATAAAGATTCCTTTTCATGAATCGCTCATTATCGCTGAAATATACTACGTTTACATGGCGACGTCAATCCGGCTTAGTAACAATCATAGTCAACAAATCTTGCGTCCGATTGGTGCATTCTTTTAAATCTAAAAATGTGCTCCAATTAAATGCAGAAAATCACTAACTACGGTTGTCACAAAACTGGATTAATAGGTGCGATCCACTTGGTGCTATAAATGTTTCAAAGCAATTTTTGATTGATCATAATATTTTTTTGTTCTGATTGGTTAATCAACAAATGTTTCGAGGTATTTGTAGCAGCAAGTGGATCGCACCCAAAGTCGCCGTGTAGTCATTATTGGCATTTGTCACGTCGTTTATTCGTCATTATTTAAGAAGCATGGAGAAGTGGTTACAAGAAAAGTTATCTGAGATCTTATACTTTCCGATTGAGGACAGTTTAGTCCAGTAAGTACAAGTAGATAATGAAAATCTTATAATTACTTGCATAATGCTGTGCAATGCTTGTGCAGGTCTATTTTGCATATAGAAAATGAGAGAGATTTAGACGATTTCTTTGCAACTTTATTGGATAATGAGAATCCAAAACATAGACAATTTGTAACGGAATTAAAGAAGAAACATGGTAAGTTTCAACAATCTGAAATTTTGAAAAATATTACTGATTGTTAATAAATTATTATATAATTCTATATCACATTCTAGCTTCTTATAACAATCAAGTTAGATATAAGAAAACAAATGATAATAACGATGTTCCCAAGAAACAAAATGACAAGAAAAAGGGGAAGGGAAAAGGAAAAGAAAACATTCAGGTACATATTTTATTATTTTTCCAAGATTATATAATAAATAAATTATAAGACAACTATTAAAAAATTATTGAGTACTTTGTATATCATTTTGTCAGCAAAATGTTGGCAAACTAGCAACAGATTTAATCAGAAAATGTTAGCAGACTGACTTCATCTGAGGTCTCATTCTGCTTACATTCTGTTGACAGAATCTGTTGACATTCTGTGTCAGCAGACTGGCAGTAGAAATCTAGTAGATTCTGCCATCAAATTATGTTGCGCAGATCCTGCTCGATTTCTGCTGCCAATCTGCTGGCACAGAATGTCAACAGTTCTGTCAGGTTTTTGACAGCAGTTTGCTAACATTCAGATATTACAGAATCTATTAGCAATCTGTTGATTTTCTAGCAGAAATTAATAATAGGCTTTGTGCATAATCTGTCTTTTCAGGCTTGGCTATCAGGGCAGGTACAAGAGTCCATAAAACCTGAGATAAAGCCTGAGAAGATAGAAAAGAAGAAAAGTACATTTGTTAATTTATTATCACATGGAAATATTCTTTTAAAAGGTATCTAATATGTCTAATATCTATAATAAATTTGTGCAAACAATATATAAAGAAAAATATTTTGTATAAATTTTTTTTTGTATAAATAATGCTTTTAGGTAGACATAAATGTGATTGTGAAGCAAGTAAACATCAATTAATTAACAATTGTCTTAATTGTGGAAGAATAGTCTGTCTACAAGAAGGTCCGGGTCCATGTTTGTTTTGTGGAGAACTTGTTTGTTCTCCAGAACAAGTAGTACCTCGAAGTAACACTAAACAGATTGAAAATTTGAATACCAAACTAATGGACCAAAAGCCAAACAAAACTCTTGAAGATTCGCTTAAACAAAGAGATAAACTTCTTGAATTTGATCGCAATAGGTTTGTTACATCTGAAGATTAGGCATTGATTAATCCATCATCCTCATAAAATTAATTTATATTTTATAGTGCCCGTCGTACTAAAGTTATTGATGATGAGTCAGATTATTATCAATCAAATAGCATCTGGCTTTCCCATGAAGAACGTAAGAAATTAAAAAAACAAGAAGAAGAAATGCAATCCCGGAAGCATGCGTCACGTTTAGATAGGAAGGTTGCTATAGATTTTATGGGAAGAGTAGTAGTTGATGAAGATCAAGCCATCAATTTGCAATTCGAAAATCTTGATAAAACGATACCATATAGCAATTTTGAAAATTCGAATATCTGTCCAACAATAGAATTTGATTGTCCAACAGTAAGATAGCAAATCAAGATAAATTATATTGAATATTTATTTATATTATTAAACGATCATACATTCTTCATTATACATTATTATTATTATATTCAGTTTGTTGAGATGGGAATATCTAAAACAAGTAACAAAGAAAATCATATATGGGATACAGAAGGTAGAATACAGGATAAAGAATATTTGGAAATGTTTGATCAAGGTTTGTGCTTGAGCATGCATCAGCCTTATGCATCTTTGTTGGTGGCAGGAATAAAAATGTAAGTAGCATATATACACATACACATATACATACACATCCATCTAAAAATAATTCAAGTAATTAAAATAACTAACATTATTTTCTCATTATCAGTCATGAAGGTAGAAATTGGTATTCTTCACACAGAGGAAGATTGTGGATAGCATCAGCTGCTAAAATACCTTCCTCTGAAGAGATATCTGAGTTAAAGCATAATTATCGTGTGTTGAAAAGTGGTCAGTAAAAAATATTTATTTTAAATTACTTATCTTATCCTTAACTTAATTTATCATGATAATTCCAGAAAAAATTGTGTTTCCTGAGAACTATCCTACAGGTTGCTTATTAGGGTGTGTAACAGTGACTGATGTTTTACCTCAAAAAGAATATAGAAAATTATATCCAGAAGGAGAAAGTGATAGTCCATATGTTTTTATCTGTGAGAATCCTTACATGCTACCAATACATTTCCCTATAAAAGGAAAACATAAAATTTGTAAGTAAAAATACCAATAATTTCTACTATGTGTAATTAATATATTATCAACTAAGTTCCATTGTATGTTGCAGATAAAATGGATAAGAAGATTCATCAAGCTGCTTCGAAATGTTTAGAAAAAGCCATGAAAATAGCTGATAACTAATATTTTCATATTCTGCATTATTTTTCTCTTTGCCAAATAAAATAATTTTTTGCAAGATATATATATATATATATAAACATATATATATATATATATAACATATATATATATATATATATAACATATATATATATATATGTTTATTTGCATAAATAATTTAAATATACATGCATTCTATTAAAAATATCTGGTTAAAATTATCTGGTTTTTATACAAAAGTGATTCTAATAAAAATTTTACATAAATATAATATGCATGTTACATTAAATTTGTTATTTCTATACAACAGATTGTTATTTAATTTACATATAAATTCTATGAGATATCGAGATATAACCACTTATGCTTTTCATTGCTTATTCTGTTTACCATACTTTACCATACTCATATCTTTTGTTGATGAAAAAATATCAATTTTATTATAGCTGTGATATCAAACTTTTATAAACGTATTAAAAGTTAATACCTTCTCTCGCGTGAGACAGCGTATTTCTGAAATACATCTTGTTTAAGAGAAGCGAAGAACGAGGGTTACTGTACTAAATTTTCATTTTTCAAAAATGCCAATCGTCTTATTTTATTAATATCTCAGTGTGTTGTCTATATAAGCTTCAATATCGTTATAAATTTTTCTTTTATCTTTACGCATTAAATTAGGCTAAACTAGTACACTCAACAAAATCCTCTCATTTATACGCTGTTAATTAATAAACAAAAGCAGGATAGTGAAACAAATTAGAGTACATTAGCTCAAACATCCTTATGAATCTCTTTCTATTGAGCAAAATTTTTCATTATCTCTCAAAACATTTTACATTAAACTAATTGATTACATACATGTATTATTTTGTGCAATGTCGACAAACTTATAAAAACGCAATATCTTACGTATATACTAAGTTATATATACATTCAACAGTCGAAAACAATATTAAATAAGACAAAACAAATGTTGCAGAGATATGTTAACAAAGTATTTAATAAGCAAATCGTATTTGTAATGACTTGATGAATAAGGAATGTATGAATAAATAAGTATTTGTGTGATTAATATTTTTAAATAAATAGCTACTTCTAGATGATTTCAATACACAATAATATAGACGTTGTTGTATCGATAAAATTTCATCACAAACTATAATAGAATGCACTCTCAATTAAATTCTTGTTATATTTATAATGATCTTTCTTTCTAATAATATAGTACAATATGTATTATTATAATAGTTACAACAATAATCTGCAACCAACGGTGCAATAATTTTATTCTTAATACATTCTGATAAAGTTTTAACATTCTTGTCTTTACAGCAAACGCCTAATTTGTTTCCAGAGAACTCGTTAGAAACACTCCGTCAATTTGTAACATTGCATAAACTATCATTTGCAAATCGAAGAGAAGTTCTCTTTCTATTAATTCATTTTTTAAATAATTTTGTTGATCATGGCATTTATACAATTTATTCATTATGATAACAACGCCTAATTTTTTAATTTGTTGCAATATACTTTTTGGAAACTAAGTCGATCTATTTGAAAGGAGCAGAATCTGTTTCTCAAATTTTAAGCAATCATCTAAATTATAAAATAAATTGCACAATTACAAAGGAAATATAAATGTATAAAGACAAACATATAATAAAATACTTTTTGAGTAAGTAATGTCCCAGCGTTTTATGCATTTTCCAATTAATCTCGGTAACATTAATTTTATAAACTTTGGCCTAATATTTGATTAAATTTCTTTAATGACAAGCTGTCAAATGTTATAATAATACTAATAGTTATGACGTATAATATATAATTCCAATATCTATTCAATACTCCTCAATAGGCCATAACACAACAATACTAATACAAAGCTAAAAAAAGTCATTATATTAAAAGATTTTTTTATTCCACATGATAATTTTAAATAAATATCTTTGTACCTTCTCTATGTAAATTAGAATCCATTTGCGTTATAAACATATTATGTCTCTAAGTTTTTCTGTATTCATGTTTCATTTTAGGTCGTTGAAAAAGAGTCGTGTTGTACACACACACACATACGATGCATTCGGTCAATAATTTCATATCTTACAGGCAATATTATACCTTTGCGCAAACCGCAAATTGTCAAGTGTGCGAGAATCTTTTCTTTCGCGAAGAGTTTCAGTCTGTTTATATGTAGGTCGGAGAATCTTTCAGACTGGTATGACAAGCATCACAGATAGAAACATTTTTTCGTTTACCAATGTGCATTTTGGACATTCCTTGCCGCCACTGGCAAGTGGTTTGTCCTCGTTCCCTTTGCATCTCGACTTTGCGCACATTTCACAGATATCTCGGTCGGGCGTATTCAAATACGTACATGTGGCGCAATTCCATCTCTTTTCGCTTTCCTCTTCCTCCTTTTCTTTTCTTATTTGCGCGATATCGAGATTTTTAAAAGAATCCGCAATCTTTGCTATCTGATCCGAAGATTTGTGCGTGCGTGGAATCGGTAAAGTTTGACTGTTGTGCTTCTTATCCCTATTGTATGCGTCGATATATTTATTCGAATCCGACAAGTCGAAAGATGAGGATTTCTTCTTGAAAGGCAGAATATCCTGATGATTCTTACCATTTCCTTCGGGCGAATCAATCTCATTCGTTTCAATCCTGCTTCCATTTCTCTTCTTCTCAAACTTGTGTGCGCTATATTTGTCTTCATTCTCTGCTTGCCTGAGCGTCTTGTGTTTGGACGCGCGAATAGAATCTAGCTCCTTTTTACGCTGTAATATATCATCTCGATCATCGAGATCTTTGTAATAACCTAAGCTTTCGAGATTTTTGTAAACAAAATCCCATGTATCATAATCGTCTCTTCCAGCGTTGGAATTTGATCTGCTAGCGGTTTTTCTATCAGTTTTGCCATGTTCCATGTAATGATCGCCATCGCTTGACTGTCGTCTGTAAAAGTCTACCTCATCTAAATCCGATATTCGATGGGGCATAGATTTGCGGAAAGCATGAGCTTTATCATAATTCGCAACAGACGCCGGTACATCAAGTTCTATTAGTCTACCAGTCGGCACTCGGGCTGCATATGCCGGTAACGTGGCACAATATGGATTTGGTTGCATGCTATTACTGTAAAATTTGTTCCCATGAGAGGACAAGCAACCGTAACTGGCGCAACAATTAATGAAATCGTGATTAACCGGTTGATAATATCGATAGTTAGCTGGTATTGCCATGTTCGTTGCGTCTTCGATACGCCGGTAATCCGTTTGACAGGTTGACGGCATCGTCGCGCTGTAATTGGCATGCACGATATGATGATAGGGTAGGTGCAATGGCACAACGTCTATGCTCGTTTGTTGTGGATAGAAATCCTTATAATTATCTGCCTTTGTACGATTTTGATGCACTTTCTCAAGAAAACGATAATTTAGCGCTCGAATAGCTTGCTCCGGCGTACCAACGTGATTTTCACGAAATTCCAGCACTTCTAGCCAAGAAATGGTATAATTCTGTGATACGCTTTCCCATATCTGTTTCAAGATCTATAATTTTAAAAGCAACTTTATACTTTATCACAGGTGTACTAAATTTGCATTTTGAATTGCATGACTGGATTACATTATTTATTTAATTGAATAATTGATTGCATTGATCATTTCTCATTATCTGGAGAATAGAATGAGAAGGAGAATAGAATATCAAGACTGGAGAAGAAAACGAATGAAGAAATTAGAGGCAAGATGGATGCGAGAGACACAGTAGTGAACAGAATTAAGAGAAGGACTCAAATGGTTTGATCATTTACTGAGAATGCAAGATGAAAGATGACCAAAACAAATATACAAGTGGAGACCCCCAGGAAGAAAGAAGAGGGGTAGACCTTGACGTTCCTGGAACGAGGACATCAAACATGGAGAATAGGAACGTGGATGAAGAGCTGGCCCAGGATCGAGTAGCTTGGCGGAGGGAAATGGGAATGCAGTGCTAAACTGCTACCTGGGTGTAATACACCAAGACCTATTATATATATATATATATATCGTTTCTCATTACCTGACATTCCACAAAAGCTACAATAGCATCCCTACTGACATTTGAAACCTTATCTGGATCAATCGGTCCTTCCAAAGTCAATATACCCAAACCAGTATGCTTATAGCCCATCTGTTCAAACATTAACTCGGCGCCTATTAAATTTGCCTCTACTTCATGTTTGTAATAACCACTGTACGTCTAAAACAATTTCACGTATCAAACGATATTTTAATAACAAAATTAATAATAACAAGATTAATAACAAAATTATTTTTTCAAAAGTTACCCTCACTATCCTATATTCTTTCCGCCAAGGCTGAGCTAAAAGATTAGCTGCATATAATGAAATTGCACTCCAAGCAGTTGCTGCTCTATATCCACTGAAATCTGTTACCGTTGCTGCTGATCTATGCAAAATATCTGCTGTTTCTTGAAATACATACTTATTCTCATTAGGTACTAAGCAAAGGTATTCTTTTATAAAGCCTAAAATTTATATAATAGAACATGAAACGCACATATGTAGAAAGAGAGATTGACATCAGATAATTATATATTACCTTCTAATTTATGTCGTTGCTGTAGCTTCAAAGGACTATCATCTGTTTGCAAGTATACCAGATGACTCTGCTCCAATTTCATACTAATCTCTTGTAATCTGTCTTTACCTCTCATTATTACATCATTCGCCATTTTTGTCCCTTTAATAATAGTAAGAAAAATTTATAACAGTTTGTAATTAATTGTAATTGACAATTAAGTTGTTAAATGCTACACAAGGCTGTAGAAATTTAACAAACATTGTTGCCTGAAGTTCTGTTTTAGAAAATTTTGATAATCATTATTCTCTTAAAGTTTCTCTTCTGACAAGATGTAATAGTTAACATGTTACTTAAAAATAAGCAGCGTTTACACCATAAAGATCACAAACCTTCTAGAAATCTGATTTTCGAGCAGATTCCCGATTCAAACTACGACTAGCTCCAACCTAAAAATAAATCCTATATTTAGTAACGGAATCACGATCTTCTGTAAATAGGCCAATAGTTTTGTCATTACTTGACGTGCGGTGTGATCTCCCATTTCAAAACGTAAGTCATCGAACCATTAGTTTGATGCCATCAATTTAAACGACGCGTGTCTCTACATCGCTCTATAAACAGTAAATATTTTTTGCAAGATTTTTTTTTTGGTTATGTTCGCATTACATCATGCACAGAATGCGCAAGGACACGAGATACGAGATGCATCTTCAAATTCTTCTTGTACTATATGCATGTAACACCGCCAGGTGGAAATTGATCGAAACCTTGACCGCACAAATTTTAAAAATAAGCAGAAGATATATTTCCGAATGTGACATTTAACACAATTATACAGGGATTCCTATTTTTCAAAGTAACCAGTGTAATGCAGTCTACATCATACATAAAAAGAGACAAGATATTATTAATAATAATGTTTATTTATTTTCATTTTATATTAATGTTTGTGTTCAAAAATTATGTTTATAATTATGTATAATCACAAATATTATATATATATATGTCTACTAAAAAACAAGCAAAATAATATATTTATAACACGCTCAGTGAAATACAAATCCAATTATCATGTTTCATCATTGATATTATTGCACATAGATATATTGCAACGAAATAAAACTAAAATGAATGACATAAAAAATATATTTGAATTATTTATATTCAGAAGTACAATAATTATCATTGAGAAACATAATTGAAATTTAATTTATGTACTAATTTCTTATTAACATTTTCTCGAAATATAATAGAAGATATAATCCTATGTAAAAAAATTTACAAATTTGTCTTACAACAAAATAAATTCTCTATAAATAACTTGAAATAATAATGAGTTATTTTGCAAATATGTATGCTTTTTTAAGTAAATTTTACTTTTCTCAGTAATAAATAATTCCTACAAAGAATGATGCAATATAAATAGTACAACAATTATCTTTTTCATTTACAATTGATATATTAAGTGAAAAATTTAACATATCCATAACAATTGATGACGAATGGACATTTAAAATATATCACCATAATATCTCATTTCACATATCATATTTCAATATTTACATTAATTAATTGAATCAAAACCAAGAAAAGAATAAATTTACTAAAAGACATTATTAAAATGGCATATATCTTGACTGCAGTCCATTTGACATTTAAAATACTTTAGAACGTAAAATTCTTTGTCTTGATTGATTCAGGCTTTGTCTTGATGGATTCAAACTATTCAAAGCTTGGTACCAAATGGACTGCAGTTTCTATTTCCCCGTATATTTAAGCAATAACATGGCATTGTACCATGAATATGTCCATTTGTGAATAACTGATTTATATAATATACAATTATCAATTATTCAAGAATATACGAATATTCATATGAAAAGTGTAACATATTTTAAAGGCTGTTATTCAGATCAAGACGTGGCCTTTTACTGCGCACTGTAGATGCATCATCCTGGGAGTCACCATTGGTAGATAAGAACTCTCTTTTTCTATCGGCGTTCTATAGAGTATATTTCATATTTGTTAAATTTGAAAAATAAAAATTTATATATTAAATTTATATATTAAAAATATATCACAACATTTGATAAAAATTACAGCATAACCAGTATAAGTTTATTCCATGTTGGTATTCTTTATTTCTGTGTCTATGTCACTCATAATCATTCAGATTTGTTTGCCAATCTAATAGAAATATGGTAATATCCCTATCATAAACAATAATGTAATCATTTTTTTATTTTTACAAATTTTCATAATGCATATCACTCTGGATCTGATTGACTGACAAAGAATAACGACCTACTTTCTTTCATGGAGCAAACATGTTACATACTGTTTCTACTGAGATAAAAATATTTAACAATATTTAATTACTAAAACTAATATTCATAGTTGATTCTTATATTTAAAACCATCTTAAGTATCTTCTTAAGATGTTATTAACCAATCACAGAATATGGCATATTAAGACATTAGTAAGTATTACTATACTGTATATTATATTGTTTTATCTATAATATATTATAAAATGATAAGGCACCTCACTAAATACTAATAAATGTTCTTTGTATATTTATACATTTTACTTTTATACTTTGTACATTTATATATTTATATATTAAAACAATATTAAATATAGAAAAATAAGAGAAAAGTAATAAAGAGAAAAATAGAAAAATAGAAAAATTTTCCTTT